TCTCGAATCAAGTCTCGAGTATCGATTTTTTGGACTCGGTCGAGCTCGAGCCGAGCTTGAGCCTAGGTACATATGAGTCGAGTCGAGCTCCCGATCTCGATTTGGCTCGATTACATCCCTAATAATTTATGAATCCACGTTGGCAAATCCTTTTTGGAAAGCCTCAACTCATTCGTCATCAACCACTACCTTAACCAAGTTGGAAGATCAACTAATGCAATCACTTGGGAAGTGGAAAATCAATCAATGAACAGAGTCATGCACTCTCTAGACCTTTGTCTTTCTCGGGTCATGCTCCACATGGTAATGTTATCTACTGTCATCACCCAAAAGCAAAAAAGTTAACATGCGTGTTCAAGGTTCGACACTTGAAGAGCTTGCCTTCGCCTTTAAGGATTTTCCTTTCATTTCTAGAAGAATCAAGACCAAACATGTTTATTAAGAGAACAATTTCCCAATAGTTCCATCCATCCAAAGAATTAAGAGAACATTTCAAGGTGTTAATTACTCACCAATTCCTTCTGAGTGGTTGATTTTAACTAGATTTAATATATCCATGCCTTTTGCTGTCTCACCATGATCTCAATATAGAGAAATATAGACCATTATCAGAAAACTTTAATCTACATATTTTGGTTTAACCATTTTATTTTGTTTTGACTTTTTGGTTAAATAGTTATTAATAATGGCAAAGGTATTATTGTTAATTTGTGACATTTGATAAGAATATTTAGTCATGTCCGGCTGACAGGGGAGGTAAGCGAAATTTCACAAATCTCAGGAAAGCTAAGTGATATTATGAGAAATCTCTGGATGTTTTTGAATTATCCCTTATTACTAACACCTATGAGGTAAAAAAAAGGTAAACAATAAAACAAGGCGATTGGATATAGCCATAAAGGAGCCAGACAATGGTAAAGTAATAACGGGGCCAAAGAGTAAAATCAATAAAAAAAAAATCAAGGGCATTATTGCAAAACGGGCACTTAAATATCCGCCAGGGTTCTTACGCGCGATTGCACACGCAGACGCTCCTCACTGTCCTTCTCTGTATTAGTTTATGCAACCCACAAAATCAACAACAAATTGGTAAGTTCATTTGTTTGTTTATTTAGCTATGAAGGATTTTTTTCTCCCTGTTAAATGGATGATTTATTTATGTTTTAGTTTCTTGATATTGATTGTAGCTTGTGAACCTTTCGCTGCTAATGCCTTATTGTGCCTCTCAAGAGTCCTTTATTTCTTAGCGGTTAGCGTTTGTCATAACAATTTGTTTCTGGTGATTGGATTTTATTTTGTGCTTAGACCTATTGAAGTTCAATGAAATTGTTAGTTTTGGAGCCTGAGTTATTTTATTTTATTTTTTGGCTGGAACTGGTCTGAAACCTGAATGAAGATGGATGTAAGATTTATTCCCTAAGTTGGCTGTTAAGGTTTCTTTTGCGTGTGAGTGAACTATGAATGAAAATAATCCAAAAGTACTTGCACTTGTTCCTTACTTAAGCCCTCGAATGCCTTTCCTAGTTTCTCTTTCTCCTTTGATTTATTGAGACATTGGATAGTTTGGATTTTGAACAAGAAAATCTTGCAAGGGTACTTAATATTGAATCGATTGGTATATTTTGCACATTAGCTTTTCGGAAGGGTTAGGTTCATTCCATAAGTTGACCACTCTCTTTAAAGATTGTTCCTTTGTAATATTTGATTTCAAGCAAGAAGAATGCGGCCTAATACCAAAACATACTCCAAAAAACATTGTTTAGTATTTATTTGTTGTATGCCTTGTCTGCCATGCTCTGGGTATATGCATGGAAGTCAATTCCTAGAATGCTACCATTTACCAAAGCATTCTTGCATGTGGTCTTTTTCCCAAAGCACATTCATGCAAAAAATATTTATCAAGCATGCTAGCCAATGGCATCTGATTGATGGACTGAAAATTTATGAGTGGTAAATGGCTTGCAATACTGGATGTCATATTGTTGATTAGTCTTCTTATACCAGTAGGATTTCCATATTCCAGAAATGAGATGATAGTCCCTGAAAATATGAATGAGACTGACATCTTCCCCATTTTTTTCTTAAGGTGAGAAGCTCACTGAAATAGGATGTGAAGCTTCTATACGGGAAGGAAGGATTACATTCATTTGCTGCATTTAGTGCTACAAGTGCCAAAGGGCACTGCTCCGCCAGAAATCATCCTTAAATATTTATTTTTTTGTAACTATCTTCAAACCATGAAGCTTTCTGTAGTTTTCAAATCCTTGCGTAGCTATCCGCTCTTCGTGTGGTTACCGGCCCTCTACAGTCTCGTGCATTTCAGCCTGATTTCATTCCCAGGGATCCCAAATCGAAGCCCGTAAGACACAAGTATCCTGCTTTCTATGATCCTTATGGCCCTAGACCCCCACCTTTAGATAAGATCATTCGGCTTGCAGAACAGATTGCGCCCTGTCTCCTGAAGAGCGTAATGTGATTGGTCCACACTTAGAGACAGACTAAGGCATCCTAAGATTCAACCAGTTTTAGTGGAGGGCATGGACTTGGGTCCTCAGGGAGGGTCTGGCGTTGGGTCTTCAAAGGCTGAGGAGAAGAAGGTAGAAAAAACTGCATTTGATGTCAAGTTAGAAAAGTTTGATGCTGCTGCAAAAATTAAGGTGATCAAAGAGGTTCGTGCTTTCACAAATTTGGGGTTGAAGGAAGCCAAAGATTTAGTTGAGAAAGTACCAGTTTTAATTAAGCAAGGTATCACTAAAGAAGAGGCAAATGATATTATAGAGAAAATCAAGGCTGTAGGGGGAGTTGCTGTTATGGAGTAGATTTTCAACGAGTTTTGTATGCTTTCTTTGAACTGTTATCAAAGTTCTGTTGCCAGTTTTTTGCTCTGATAGACAAACAATTGCCATTCTGAAGATGTTGTTCTTGCATATTCAAAAGAATGAAACTTTCCTTGCTAGGTAGAGGAGGACCATTATGTTTTCCTTCAAATTTGGTTTTCATACTTGATATTTTGTGCTGACCCTTAATGGGATTTTGTGATACGGATGGGCCACGAGGGAAATGGGCTTAACAGATGTCTGGTTTGTGTAAAATTGCTTGTGTATAATATTGGAATTATTGCTAATTTAACTGTGGTTGCAACTTACAAGTAGTATGTTTGCTTCAGCATTTGAACATGGTGGTTGACTTTTTAGTGGCCGGAAATGGCCTCTGTCCATTTTTGAGATGTCCAAACAGTTACATTTCAGGCTTTTTGCCAGGTATGGAAATTCTGGAATTGAATTATGAACTCTCAGAATGCGATTTTCAATTTAACTGATTAGGTGTAATGCCTCAGCAATTAATAGACCCACACTTTAGTAGATAACATTTTTAGCATCTTCGTGCAGTATTTGTAAATATTTCCTGAGCAAATATGAGATGTATAACCTTCATTGTTGTAGTCGAATAGCATTCCTAATTGACCAATTGTTACTGGTCAACTAATTCATGATTCATCTTAACTTGAAAGCAGTAGTAGAGTAAATAAACATGATTGTGGCCCAAGTTTTCAGTTCTTTGGCTAGATGACAGTTAATATACGACTATGGTCTTGATTTTCAATTCTTTGGATGGATGGAACTATTGGGAAATTGTTCTCTTAAAAACATGTTTGGTCTTGATTCTTTTAGAAAAGAAAGGAAAATCCTTAAAAGGCGAAGGCAAGCTCTTCAAGTGTCGAACCTTGAACATGCATGTTACCTTTTTTGCTTTTGGGTGATGACAGTAGATAACATTTCCATGTGGAGCATGACCGAGTCTAGAGAGTGGATTGGATGACTGTGTTCATGATTGATTTTCCATTTTCCAAATTATTCCATTATTGCTCTTCCAACTTGGTTAAGGTAGTGGTTGATGACGAATGGGTTGAGGCTTTCCAAAAAGGATTTGCAAAGTGGATTCATAATATGTCAATTGCCTAACCATGTTCTAACTGTTATCCCTCTTGTGAAAAGCAAAGATTTTTCAACTTTTTTTGAGAAGAACTAATGGTGAAGAAAAGTAAACATGAGCAATGACTTTGTTTTAACTCCTCTTTCATCACAAATCCTTAATTAACACGGTTTTTAGCATAAAACTTGGCTGCTACTACTTTTCCTTTTACCTTGCCACACAAAATAAGCAAGAAATTGACAAATACCTTCTACGTGCCCTCATAAGTATTATTTGGCTTGTATTCTCCCAAGATATAGGTACCTATCAAACTATAATGCGACACAAGAAAAATAAGAAGTGAATAACAAAAGAAATGTGAAAATAAAAGCCATAAAATCAAACTAGTATAGCTTACCTCTGTACATAAGCTCTTTTTTCTGTTCAAATTGCTCGACAGGAGTGTGCATCGAAATTAAATTCAGTAATTTGGAACTTTGAATTTGGAATTTTTGAAAATTTGGACATTGGAAAATTCGATCGATTTCAAATTTGATTTCACAAATTCTAAATTCAAATTCGTTCCGAATTCGAAAGTTGGTAACAACCGATTTCACCTAATTCGGTAATTATATGTAAGTTTTGCTAAACTAAATGCCAATTTTTGTATAATATAAGTTTATAGTTATAACATAATATACAACTAACTTAACAAGACTTATTGTATTGTTTTATAATATAATTATTAGTTAGATGTATTATTATATAATATAAATTTTTATATTACATATATCTTTATAATATATAAGAAGGCGCTTTGGGTTCCTATTCATTGCAATTTCATCTGCTCACTTCAGGGCATTTTTGTCCTTTTAGCTTTTCATCTGCTCACTTCATCTGCTTATTGCAAGTCTTAGCCTCTTAGTGGAACATTGGGTGTTTGCAGCATTAACAAGAAGCATTAATGAGACGTAATGTTCATTTTTTGGAGCCAGCTCATTTTGCGTTGTTTAATTACATTTTGCTCCTTCAAAATACTCATTGAATGGACTATATATTTTCAACTTATGTCTAACATAGTCATTTTACAATAGCTTTTTACTTTTGCTGTCAGACTTTAGAAAATTGAGCCTTCTCTTCTCCTGTTCTGTTGGTTTTGCTCGCTTTCCAGCTTATTGTTCTTCTCAGCTTCTTCTCGCTCTCTCTGTCTCTGGTTCCTGCCGAGAAGAAAAATGGCGTTTGGAGCCAGGAACGAGCAGGAAGTCAGAGGGATCGTGAATCCTCGCACCGACAAAAGAGACTACCGAAGAATCGTTCTTCACAACGCTCTCGAGGTCCTCCTCATCAGCTATCCAGAAACTGATAAGGTACTAAATTTCAATCCATCGGTTTCTTCTTTTTCACCCTGCTTAATTTCTTTTGTTGATTTAGTATTTAATGAATGTTGGAGTAGGTTCTTTTAGTGATCCAGAAGGTCTTGAAGGCCTCGCGCATTTTCTTGGTATGATATTTTGATTTATTTTCTACTTAAACAAAATTTTGGCTTTTCTTTGTTTCTTCGTTCAGCTTTATCATTTTCCTTAAATAATTTTGGGTTTCTTCATTCTCTAGGTCTATGCAGCTGCTACTGTCTTTCTTGTACCATTTTTGGAGAGGAAAGGAAATTTCCTGAGGTGAACTTCAATTTCATTATTTTTGGGTTGTTTTCTTGCGTTGCTTAGGTAATTTCTTTTAACCATGTAATGCATCAAAATTCATAAAAACTCAATAATTTTACAGAAATTTGAGGAAAGTTTCATGGTTTTAAGTATCTTTTACCTTGTTTCGCTTTCAATCTATATGTATGGTAAATCACCCTTGCCGGAAGTCATAAAAGATTTCCTGTTTTGCTTTAAAATATTTGGCTATGGGTTCAACATCAATTTTACACTACAAGCTTCTACTTTTCCCGGTGGTTTCCTTAATGCTTTATACAACTCCACTTTTCTCGCCGTTATTTTTGGGCTTGCAAATTTTGTCTGCCGCTCTGATTGTAGTGTAATTTTTCCCTCATTTCTTGGCGGATTCTAATGCCTAATGTACTGGGTCCCCCTTTTTTTCAAAAATTTTGATTTTGTTATTGGTTTCTTTTTTGGACAAAAAAACTTCATTTATTTCAATGGACTTAAATTGATTTATCCCTTTTTTTTTATTTTTTCCCTGAATAAGAGAATTTTTTTCCCTTCCCTAAATTCTTAAATTTATATGCTGATAGGAAAATTAACATATTTAGATTATTATACTAATTGCGTTCTTTTGTTTATTTGTTCTATGAAGAGATTGTTTTCCTCAACAAGAAGGTGCTGGTTGAAGGTTAGGAAGTTAGAATAGAAACTTCCACGGGGTTGATACATTTGCTTGTGAAAGTTAAAAATAACATATTGAATAGTTGTGCCTTATAATTTTCTTTGCCTTTTCTACTCTCGAATTATGATTTGGACTGGGGTAATTTCTTTTCTGGCCTGTTATTTCTTTTTTCTTTTTTCCAGTTCTCTTAGCTCTTCAAAGAGCCTATTACTTTGGTTATTATTATAGCATGGTTAGGTTGGACATTTTGTTTCTTCAATTTATTGGGTAGATTTTACAAACTTACTTTTCTTCTTTGCATCTTAATCTTCATAACATCTCATTAATGTTTTAAAAACTAGAAGATCAAATTTTTAGCAAATGCTTTTACATTTTGAGCATTATCATTTAATTACGTGGCCTTTGTTCTAGAAGCGTTTGTGAGCAAGTTGGGTAAAGCAGAGTTGACAACTGAACTATGTGGTTCATTGCCTACAATAGTAGTCGATTCTGCCCGTAGTAATTGTAAGATAAAACAGCCAAGTTTAGTCTGATAATAATGTTTATTTATACTTTTTGGTTTTTTTTTTAATATTATTGACAATATCTTACTTGTGCTTTTATTTCCTTTGTATGTGAATTTGCCAAATGAGATTTTTAAAACCCTTTTTTCTATGGTTAGTCATTATTGGTGAAGTCATTTTGTTTAATGTATGTGGTGTATGGTTCTTGGTATCTCAACGTTATAGTATTTAAATGTGAAAACAGTTTGAAAAAATGGAAGGAATATCTACTGAAAGGAGAAAAAAAATTTAACTTTTCAGGTTGTGAATTTTTTTGATTTATTTCCCTGTCATTTTTCCAATTTTACACTAGATTGGACCTTCAAGTTTCTGCTTCCTTTCATTTCTTAAATTTTTGCTTACTTCTTTAGTTTTCTGTCCTCATAATCTTAGATTGCCGCCTATTTGATAGATTGAGGAAAATCACAAGGAAATACTAAAAAGGAGAAAAAGATTTAGCTTTTCAGGTTATCGTCTTTTCTTTTTATTTTGCGGTCATGTTTCTAGATTACCTTAACTTTGAATTTCAAATTTCTGATTTATGTGCTATTTGTGGTTTTGACGAAGTTTTGGTGCATGTTGAAATTGTTAATTTTACCAATTTCTGAATCATATATGAAGCTGGGAGGTTCAGTTTGAATTATTCTTGGGGAGGATATCTTTTCTCATAATGGTTATGCATTATACTCATTAACAATGCATTGTACTCAAAAAGACTTCTTTTTTGGTCTCTTTGTTTTTCTTTTTTGTAAAAAGGGCTTGATTTTGTAATCATGCTGTTGATTTTGCAAAAAAAAAAAAGGTTTAGAATTTTCCTTATTGGTATTTTGGATGTGGAGGAAGCAGAGGAATAGGATGTGGAAGAGTAAATAAACAGAACCCAGTGAGTTTGGGAGAACGAAGTAGCTTGCTCCAAGCCTGTACATCTACTTTTGAGAAGGTACACACATCAGCTTGATATTCATTGTTTTATTGAGCATATACTGCTACAAGAAAATTTTCAAGGTCACGTGTGTTTCTTGTTTCTAAAGAAATTTTTTCTTAATTGCCGTACTGTAAAAACTTGTATCTGCTGAATGGGTATTCGTTTTGTTAGTTTTGCTACTATCAGATTTCCTTTGTTTCTAATGTTTAGGATTCTAATTTTCTGCTGCAGATGGTTTGGACTTATAAACCCAAGATGTAGACAGAAGCTTGAACTAGCTGGTCAGTGATTACAGTTTTTTTATAGGGAGTTACATGTAATTCTTGGAGTTCTACATAGCAGTTCCAATGCTACGCCTTGAACCACTCGGCCATCTCTCCTATATAATGATTATGATTCCAAACCGAGTGAATGACGAGTCATTCATATTAATAATAGATTATTGTATAGGTACGACTAATCCATTTTCACTATAAAAATCGAAAATTTTTCATCATAGAACGATTAGTCGATCTTTTTTCTTCTTTGGATCATAATTGCATGAAATTGAAGAAATTGACATAGTTCTTTTCGTTGATATGTTATACTACTACAATTGTAGTACATTTGGATGAAATCTAATCGGGTTCAAATAGTTCTTATTGATTCCTGTCAAAAAAGGAAGAATTGGAAGAAAGGAAAGGGTCCATATCTTTTTTTAATAAATTTGTTTTTATGTTATTTCGTACTGTACAATTCTTTTCTTTAGTGGGATCATTTTCTCGCGAGAGGTAATGAGAAGAATTATAGAATGGATTGCTACCTATGCCTAGATCACGAATAAATGGAAATTTTATTGATAACATGTAATTCTTGGAGTTCTATTATAGGAAAGTGACTCTATTTTTGTCTATTTTTTTTTCAAGTTTACTGAATTCAGAGGTGTACACAGACCCTAACTGGAGTGATAGAGACTTTTAACATATATCACTCTTCCAAGTTTGAATATCTATTCGTTTCTATCGGTTTTATTCCGGCAAAATTAGTCGAAAGACTGTATTAGAGAACTGAATAGATGGTTTCTAACAGAGTTTGGTTGTAAATTGAAGTCAATTTATTTACTAGAACTGGTTGTTGATTATTCAAGCCTTAGCCGAATGTTAGTGGAACATTGGCTGTTTTGCAGCATTAACAAGAAGCATCAATGAGATGTGATGTTCATTTCTATCAGCCAGCTCATTTTGTAGGTAAAGATTTGAGTTGTTTGATGCTTCTACATCAGTTAATTCTTTGGAGAAGTAGTTGTTACTGATGAAAAAAAGCAGTTGATAGCTTTAAATTGAATGCTTCCAAAATTTTGGTGTGATTTTCTAAGTATATAATCTGTTTCTTAGTGAGAGTTGAATTCTGATAATCAGCGCATGAGACACTTTTTGCTGATACCATGGTGACATTTGCATATATGCATCAATCTACACGTGTGTGTATGCATATTATATATGTATATGTGTATTTATACACATATGCATACATATCATGTACAGGCAAAGATGCAAAACAAAGTGAGCGTGTGCATAGATATGTATAGGAAATGGAATGTAGTGTTCTGGGTGTAGCTTATTCACCTCTGCTTATATGCTCATATTGTCATACGTGCATTAAGGTTAAATTTTGTTACTGATTGCAAGGGAATATCTTTGAAACTCTGAATTTGCCAGGTACAGTTCAAAGCTATATAATTTGCACCCGTGGTGTATTTGAGATTTTTGAGGGCCGATTTTCTGTTATATTTTAAAATTTCTTTGTTGTTACTAGCAATAAAAGTTGTTTAATAGTCCAAATTCTGTAAACAACCTGCTATATTGCTGAATAATGTTACAGAGAGAAGTGTTGAATTCTAGAGGGGCAACCCTCTCTTTTGTTCTGTACTTTAGTTGCTGCCTCTGATGCTAAGCGAATTTTGTTCTGATTTTAGGCTTCTGAAGAGCTTAGCTTTTTTGCAGCTAGCACTGATTTTAGGCACTGGAGAAAGAAGATAGTGAAGATGGAAATAATTCTGATTCTAGCAGTTATTCTAATGATAATGAGGACGAAAGGCCGGAGAGCAAATCTATCACCACCTCTTGGCCTCAAAGTTACAGGTGGTATCATCTTATCGCACATATCTATATTTGTTTCTTTCTACATCTAGCTATGGTGTTCTCTACGTTTGTTCTGTTCTTGTTCTGCAGATTCTGTATTTAGCAGTGAAGCACTTGGTTTCTTGAAAGCTGTTATATTTATATGGTACCATTTAGCTTTACCTATTCATTTTTGGCTAGGAGAGATATTTAGAAATGGGATTGAAATGCTTTCATCATGCATATTTTGGAGCTTCTTCAAGTATTTTCATTCTGTTTCGGCCATGAATATCAATAGTTTATGAGTTTGAATGGATCCAGTAACATCAGTAAAGGATAGCTATGGGCTTAAGGTAGGCTATGTAATGTTATCAAAAGGCCAGAGCATTTTATGTCTTCCCTGGATCCTTCTTCAGCTTAGCGGAACTTGGTATGATGCACTTATATTGCTGACTACTGCCTCTATTGAAAAGATTTTCCTTCGTCATGAGGGACTGGTGGTTAATCCCTGTGAACCATCTTTGGAAGTGAATTGTTGTTACTACATTTATCAATGGTAGAAACCATATTTTGGATATTACCTTTCATCGAACCGCTGATTCTGGAAGAGAAGTTTCCAAACCACATCCAGAGTATTCATTTCATGGGCTTTAGACTGAACCAATTTCCATAACTTTGGTGTGTCATAACATCTGGCCAGAACTATACCAACTTTTAGACCGTCTGCTAGATATTTTGATTGAAATAAGTGCCAGAGATCCACTCTCCTCCTCCAATCATGTACCAGCGTTTCTTATTTGCATCAGTTTTCAGTTGTTTTTGGAGAGGATAAAACATACTGGTTTGATCAAGAGTACAACCATCACTCCCTCATGTGCAATTCTACCAGCTGCAAATAATTTGGCTCTTAGCTTTTAAGATTTAGAATCAATTCCAATGGTTCTTTGTTAATTTGTTTTAAACTTGCACAACTGGATTATATATTTGAGAAATGGTTACATTAGTCATCTCACTTGGACTGTGTTCAAACTCTGGTTGATAATGCTTGGTATCTCATATCCTTGTATCAGGCAGTCCATCGATTTATACAGCAGTGTACCATCTCCAAGTCTTAACTTCCTGGGGACGCCTACGTTATCACGTTTAGGCAGCTCATTTATCTCTTCTTCATTAACAAGAAGATACACTCCTGAAGTACTCCCTTCTTCGCAAAAACCTCTATTACCACCAGTAGCAAATGCACGGCAGCCACCAGAAAGGCGTAGTTCACTTTAAATTTACACAAGCAGTATGAGCCTGTCTATGGTGAATCAGATGGCTTCTATTAGCGATGTCTTTTTCATGTCTGCAAGATAACAGTATCTTTGCATGGCTGATTAACTGTTTGAAAGCTGAATTTTGGTTTTCAGAAGGCCACAGCCAAAAGCTAATTTGTGTATGTCGATAGCATGCTTGGTTTTCATCTAAAGTTGATATGACTGGTGCACATACCTAATCTTATGGTGCAAGAAATGATGATTTTTATGCCTCGTTTATGAGCTTTTCCTGTCTTACCTTATTTACCCAGTTGCTTCATTTATGAAAGCTTCTTTCCTTCATTTAAGTTATATCTTGGACATCAGATGCCAAGATATCTGCTCTGTCTGTTTGAGATTAGGCAGTTGCATATAGTTCCTGTCAAATGCTTTTGGCTTGAGCTTAGGATTTTCTTGGTGTTGATATTGGTCAACGATCCACTTTAGATGCCTCTTCCGTCTGTTGTTGCAGACTTATTAGTCACAGCTCATTTGAAGCTCATTTATCCCTCGGAGTTAATTTTGCAATGGGAGTGTCTGACCATTGAATTGTGCAGGTTGCAGAGGCTCTGCCCCTTGGTGATGCATCTGTGGATGCTGTAGTGGCCACACTTGTCCTATGTTCTGTCAAAGATGTTGACTTGGCGCTGCAAGGTAGGTTAATTCCTGTATGAGACACTCAAACTTTGGTAGATAAAATTTACAATTTTAGCATGCAGCATCTAAAGGTTTTTCAACATAAGTAGATAAAGAGCGAAGGGCTGTGGTGACCTGGAGGTTTTTCGTCGTCCTCTCACGTGCCAATCATGTGAGTCACCAGCCTTTTTTTTTCCGCGCAATGCGCCAGACGTCTGCATATACTTCCTCTCTAGGGTTTTCGTAAATTTCCTCCGCTGCCGCCGCCTCTCTTCTCTTCTTCCTTTTCTCTTCTCTTTTTTTCCCCGTTGCTTCCTCTTCCTCTCTCCTGTCTGTATTTTTTCCTCAGACTCTCTCCGTTCCCTCCTCCTTCGCCGCCACATCATCTCCCTCTCCGACACCCAACATCACAAGCACCCCATCTCCCACCAGCCCTGGGATTCTAGGACTTCCAATCCCTCCGCTAAATCCTCGCCATCATCAACATCTTTCACTGCCTTCCTTCCTAGATCTCCACTCCCTCGCCCTTCATCTCCTCAGACTCTCTTCGTTCCCTCCTCTGCCACCATATCATCTCCCTATCCTCTATTAGCTACCTAAAGGATGCCCGATAAGGTGTTGGATGGAATGCTTCACAGAGGCGTCGCTTTGACTATAGTTGGTTTTGGTGTGTTCGTAAGTCCACTTATACCCTCTCCTCTAAAAAGAGGTTGTCAGTCCCTTCTCTCTCATTCTCCGAATCAACTGCAAAGCTAATGTTTCCCCGATTCTCCCTTAAATTTTAGAAAATTTTTGGGCTCTCCGGGACTGCAAAATCTATGGCTCTTTTATCTGCCCACGGATTTGCTTGCAGTTGCCGAAAAGCCTTACATTCAATAGATCATATAATTTCACAGTGTTCTGTATATATCTCTAAGTTTTTTAGGAATTTTAGTTTCAGAGAATCAACGACTGTTACTGCAGCCATGGATTAGAGGTATCGTTTATTTTTTGTAATTTTAAAAAGTTTTATGTTCTTTGAGTCTTCTTACTATTTTATGTACTATTTTTATGTATTTTTGTGCTTCGTTTTTTCCGCTTTGTATTTCTTCTTGTTATATATATTTTTTTAAAATTTTATGTTCTTTGATTTTTGTTACTATTTTTATGCATTTTTTTGATTAGTTTTTTTTTCCTCTTTGTATTTCTTCCTGTTAATGGTGAATAAACTGAAAGTTGATTTTTTGAAATTTTGATATTGCAGATTTAAAATGCTCGATTTGCCTAGAGTTCAGGTGGCAAGGAAGCTTTGATTTTGATGCCCAGAGTTAGAAAGCCTAATTATACCTTTGTGTAAGGTCCAGCTCATAGTTATACATTTATTCATTTCTTGTTTCTTTCATCCGAAAAAGTTTGGGTTTGAATGAACAAGCTGACCATCCATTTTCTTTTCTTTGACTAAAGTTCCTTCATAATACCTGTTGGCTATGATAATCTCATTGATCAGATAGCCTAGATGATAACTTACCCATTGCTTCAGTATAGTACTGTGCAAAAGTATATGTAATGTGCTTCAGTATGTTAACTGAAATTGAGTTGCCAAGGGTTTCATCTTGCTTCAAACATATAGTAAAAATCGCACTCAATAAACATAAAATACTTAATTGATAAGTGGTCCTAGAAGGATGATTACAAGTATAAACTTTCAAAAGTACTACACCATGACAGCAAGATTAGAGAGGGCAGGACTGAGGGAGTTTGCCGGGTGGCGGAAGAGGAAATGTTGCTGTAACTCTTCTTCCTAGGCTTTCCCATTTAATGTGGAATAGCTATGCAACTCAATTGCTTGGTTAGCCTCTCTCTTTGCCTGGCACAAGAAATTAATAATCTTCCCTTAAAGCTCATCCATAATTTTGCCATCATCTTTATTAGCACTGGAAGAACTAAAACTTCAAGATCCTAACTGTCAAAATGGTAGCTACTTTTTTTTTTTGGGTCTAGCTGAATCCTATTCCCCTGTCTTGATGTTTTATATAGATAATTTCAGATTTTTTGTATTCTCATTTTCTGTTTCGGTGTATTTTTAGCAGTTAGAAATGAAGAGATCATAAGTAAACATAATAGGTTTTTCTCCTCCTAGAAAAAAGAAACCCTCCTCTTGTTTGGCCAAGCACTCCTCTTTTTTCCCATCCTTGAGTTTTTGGCTTTTCAAATAATATGCCTAATAAATATGTTATGATTTTGTTGCTGTAGAGAGATACTGCTCTTCGTTTCCTGTTGCAATACTTACCAGAATATGCAAATCCAAGGTATGTTCTTGTGCATTCTCAAAATGCAGCATTCATTTGAGCTAATGAATCCTTTGCTCATAGCTAATGAATTCTTTATGGTATGTACATCAAGGGATGAATGATGATTACAATTGGTATAAATGATGTAGAACTACCTGTTTTAGTCATCCTTTAATTGTGTTTTGTTTTCTTTTCCTAATTTTGTGCCATTTCTTTTGTTTTGTTTATTTTTTGGCTTATTCTGCGATTGTTTTGTGCCACAAAGTTCAGTAATTGTTATACTCATCTTTCTGTTGATTATGTAGGTTATTCTTCTGTGCTCAACAGAGGTTGTGCTGCAGCGAAGTGTAGCCCTTTTATGTTACGCGGATTTGCTTGCCTGAAGTGTAGTGAATTTGGGCAATCCCTGATAAGTCACCAAAGACTGATGCAATGAACATGTTAGTATCATCTGTTAGGTCAATATCAAAGCAGCACCTGTATTAACATAGATTTGCAATTGAGTAATTAGAGCCCCTCTATCACCTGTTCTATTTGTTTTTTACTATTTTTTCTTCTATAATGTAGCTTGAACGTCATGATAGAACTGTTATAGGAGGGTATTATATCAATATACAACTATTGGTCTCATTAGGGAGTGGAAAATATTGTAGTACATGCTATGATTTGTGTACAGATTTTTCCCCATCATATTCATTACTCTTATGATGTATATTTGCAGGCAATCACTCTGCCAAACTGCCAGAGAATAGTTACTCATGATTGCTGAGGTTAGTTTCCACCATGAAATGTGAATGGAATGCCAAAAAGTTAATGACTTTTGTTCTTTTTTATATATTATGGACCAATCGCAAGATTAAAATTACAGTCAGTTTTCTTTGTTTTGGTTGCTTGTTGAGTCATTCCAAATGGAATGCCAAAAAGTTTGACTTACTTTTGTTCTTTTTATATATAATGGACTGATCGCAAGAGAGAAATTACAGTTAGTTTTGTGTTGGCTGCATGCTGAGTCATTCCTAATGTCTATTTTTTTGCTTTGTTTTAGATGTTTGGTGTTGCGATTATTACTAGTGAAGTTGCACTTGCTGACAGCCTCAAATCTTCTGTTTTCTCATGAATTTTAGTTTAATTTGGTTGATCTTGTGGAAACTGATAGAATATATATATTGCCAACAAAAATGCAATTTTTCCCTAGATTCAAAGAAGGTTAACTGTCAAAGGTTAATGGTTGTGTTTTCATATGGCTATAAATAATGAAATTTTTTCTAAAATCACGGTCAATGTTTTGAGTATGTTTGAACTTCATCCTTGAGAAAAAAACCAGATTTTCAATAAAATAAGTTCTTGTTGATAAGAATCCAATTTTCAATGCAGTTTTGAATTTTGTTTGAGTTTGTACCTCAGATATTTGAGTTGAATTGCTTTTGGTATTTGACATTGTGACATATGGAGGAAATTTTGTGCTTGTTGTCTATTGATTTTGTATGAAACTGAAATTCTTGTGTGTCTGTTTTTCTATTGAAGGAATAGAATTTGGATTGTTAAAAATGACGTTCTTAATGGTTGTCATGGTCTTATGCATACCTTACATTGTGGGGCTGATCCTTTGCAATGGAGTCGAGAGACAAATTTACATTGTGGGGTATATTGGCTATTTAATCTTATGCTGTTTATGATTATCCTTGTGATTTTTTGCTTCAGAATGTTGAAGTGCAGGATCATGTGTAGAGTAGCTAAGAAGGGGAATCTGTTGTGCTGTGTTAGGCATTCATGTAGTCTGATTAGGAGTGCGACTCAATGTTAAATTGATTATTGTAATTTTTTAATCTGTTTAGTCTTTTTCTAGAGAACAGTTTAGTAGATGTTTTTAGTTAATGTGTAGATATCATTCTTATAAAGAATTCAACCACAAATATTTTGTAGTAGTTAGGTTGTTGATTAATATGGCTCAAATGCCATTTAGTTTGTACGTGGCTTAATTTTTTATAAGTATTTATGTACAATTTTTTTTTTTTTTTTTTTTTTGCATTCTATGTTAATCTGTTTTGTGGGTGATCATTTGTAACAGCCAAAATCTTGACTTGCAATTAGTGGTTTATGTGTTAAACTACAGCCAAATAATGATTTCTAGATAAATTACTATTTTTAATACCTCATATATTATGCTTTTTGGTCAATATAAAACTGGCCAGGGCATTTTCGATTTCCATCGCGCGAAGCGCGTTTGTGCCTCCTAGTCTTGAAAATATGAATGGTCTACTTCTTGTTGGAAGAACATGTCATATACGCCTCAGTGGCTAGGTTTGTACTGCTCAGTGTATATCGAGTGGAAAAGAAGATAGCAGGGGCTAATACACATTCTAGTAATTGTTTTCAGAGATTATGAGGGTGCTAAAGCCAGGTGGGCTCTGTGTGTTTGTGGAACACGTAGCAGCAGAAGGTAATAAAGATGTACTTCCTATTTGCGATAATGAAGCTTTTATTTCATGTTAACTTCTCCGCCACCTCCATCTAACTGAATTATAACGTCAAAGCCTTGATTTGTCTGTTTTGCTGGCAGATGGAACAATTCGGAGATTTTTCCAAGGGATTCTTGATCCTTTGCAGCAGTTTGTTGCTGATGGCTGTCACTTCACTAGAAAAACTGGAGAAGTTATTGCTAAAGCGGTCTTCTCATCTGTTGAACTTCAGCGGGCATTTGTGTCTTCTGCCTCAATAGCAAATCCTCAGGTTTATGGGATAGCTCGCAAGTAGCCTAGATTAATGTTATGCCACATAAAATATTCCTGCTGCAAACCTTGGAATAATTATTTGAATACTGAGTGTGTCTAGTGTATTTGGATAGAGTATCATTTGAAATATTATTTAAAATAATTAATGTAGCACTTTTTGTGATGTGATGTATGTGAGATAAAAATTAGTTGAAAATATAAAAAGGTGGATTGGAAAATGTGTTTATGATGCAAGCGAAATATTATTTGAGATAAATTTGCAATCCAAACACCAGTTACACATTCCAACCATTACTTATACTTGTTGTACTACTCTATTGTAATACATTCCAACCTTCATCAGAATCAGTAATAAATTCCAACTATTGCAATTCTCTTATTGTACTACTCTTTGTGGTCCAAGCGTGGTGGTCCTTACCAAAGATGGCAGATGCCCGAAGGGTGCCATTTCCATGTAAAAGCTGAAAAAGAAAGACAAAGCTCTCAAGGTAGTGGATGGCTTTGATTCATTTATTGATTTACCATTTTCGACGTTAGTGCCTTAGTTGATCTTCTGAGTGGTTAAGATTGTTCACATGTACTAATTCTTATTCCATTGCTCTATGATTATCATCAATTATTAAATAGCAAGAAGTCTAAGCACAAAATTAACAGTTGGGTACTACTTTACCTCCTACCTTGGTGCACAAAATAAGAAAGAAACCGACAAGTAGCACACTCTCATTTAGCTATCGACATATTTACAAACAAAAAAAGATAGGAAAAATGGATTAAGCAAAAAAGAACACGAAATTGGACATGAAAGAGATGAGGCATTGTGAGTAATAAAATTGAGGTACTAGATACTACCTTAAATTGTTAATTAGAAATATAGGCCAAATTCTTGAACTTCTCATCTGGGGGTCATCTCTTATTATTAAGTTAAAAAAAGACAATAAATAAAGAAATTAGAAAAAAAGTAATAAAACATGTAAAGTAATTCAAAAAATAATAATAAAACATACTAATTCATTCTCGGGTTCTCTTTCCCTTTTTCATTTCCCTAAATAACTATTACTAGGGATAATTTCAAAACCTATCTTGAGGTTTCTCATAATATCACTCAGCTCTCCTGATGTCTTTAAAATCTCACTTAACTCCTTTGAATTGACATTCATTGTAGCATTTTAGCCCCTTTGAGGAAATGCAAGAAAGATAATACTTTTATTTTAGTTTACAACAACAATTTAATTTATAAAGTTTACAACAACAATAAAAAATAAAATAAGGTTAACTTTTTATAAGTTGTAAATTTTTAACTTAAACTAGTTGTTTTGGAACAAAGCAAAATTTACACCTTGAAGAATTCACACATATGAAGAGATTATTTTAATTTTTAACATAACTTAAACTACATCATGTATTAAAATGTATTTCCCCAAAAAATTTCTTGACTTTCGTATAACTATCTATGAAAGTTTTCAAGGTATTAATTACTCACCAAAATCCTCCTGAATGGTTGATTCTAAATAGATTTAATTTATCCACATCTTTTGCTGTCCCACCAGGATCTCTATATAGAGAAATATAGACCATTATTAGATAACAATTCATTTTTTGTTTTAATCTACATTTTTTGGTTTAACAATTTTACTTTTTGACTTTTTGGTTAAATAGTTATTAAGAGCAAAGGTGTTATTGTCAATTTATGACATTTGATAAGAATATTTAGTCTCGTCAAACTCACAGAGGAGGTAAGCAAAATTTTACAAACCTCAAGGAGCTGAATGATATTACGAGAAACCTCATAGATTTTTTGAAATTATCCAAAAAAAAGGGTAAACAATAAAAGAAGGCGATTGAGAAAGCCATAAAGGAGCCAGACACTGGTAAAGTAATTTACGGGGCCAAAGAGTAAAATCAATAAAAAAAAGGGCATTATTGCAAAACGGGCACTTAAATATCCGTCAGGGTTCTTATTCGCGTTTGCAAACGCAGATACTTCTCACTGTCCTTCTATGTATTCGTTTATGCAACCCACAACATCAACAAAAAATTGGTAAGTTCATTTGTTTGTTTATTTAGCTATGAAGGCTTTTTTTCCCCTGTTAAATGGATGATTTATTTATGTTTTAATTTCTTGATCTTGATTGTAGCTTGTGAACCTTTCGTTGCTAATGCCTTATTGGTCTCTCAGGAGTTCTTTATTTCTTGGTGGTTAGCTTTTCTCCATAAAGTTTATATTTTGTCATAACAATTTGTTTCTGGTGATTGGATTTTATTTTGTGTTTAGACCTATTGAAGTTCAATGAAATTGTCAGTTCTGGCGCTTGAGTTATTTTATTTTATTTTTTGGCTGGAACTGATCTGAAACCCGAATGAATATGGATGTAAAATTTGTTCCCTAAGTTGGCTGTTAAGGTTTCTTTTGCATATGAGTGAACTATGAATGAAAATAATCCGAAAGTACTTGCACTTGTTCCTTACTTAAGCCCTCGAATGCCTTTCCTAGTTTTTCTTTCTCCTTTGATCTATTGAGACATTGGATATTTTGGATTTTGAACAAGAAAATCTTGCAAGGTACTCAATATTGAATCGATTGGTATATTTTGCACATTAGCTTTTCATAAGGGTTAGGTTCATTCCATAAGTCGACCACTCTCTTTAAAGATTGTTCCTTTGTAATATTTGATTGCAAGTAAGAATGCAGCCTAATACCAAACTTAATCCAAAAAAACGTTGCTTAGTATTGATTTGTTGTATGCCTAGTCTGCCATGCTCTGGTATATGCATGGAAGTCAATTCCTAGAATGCTACCATTTACCAAAACATTCTTGCGTGTGGTCTTTCTCCCAAAGCACATTCATGCAAAAGATATTTATCAAGCATGGTAGCCAATGGCATCAGATTGGTGGACTGAAAATTTATGAGTTGTAAACGGCTTGCAATACTGGATGTCATATTGTTGATTAGTCTTCTTATACCAGTAGGATTTCCATATTCCAGAATGAGATGATAGTCCCTGAAAATATGAATGAGACTGACATCTTCCCCATTTCTCTTCTTAAGGTGAGAAGCTCACTGGAAATAGGATGTGAAGCTTCTACACAGGAAGGAAGGATTACATTCATTTGCTGCATTTAGTACTACAAGTGCCAAAGGGCACTGCTTCACCAGAAATCATCCTTCAGTGTTTATTTTTTTGTAACTATCTTCAAACCATGAAGCTTTCTGTAGTTTTCAAATCCTTGCGTAGCTATCCCGCTCTTCGTGTGGTTACTGGCCCTCTACAGTCTCGTGCATTTCAGCCTGATTTCATTCCCAGGGATCCCGAATCAAAGCCCGTAAGACACAAGTATCCTGCTTTCTATGATCCTTATGGCCCTAGACCCCCACCTTCATATAAGATCATTCGGCTTGCAGAACATATTGCAGCCCTGTCTCCTGAAGAGCGTAATTTGATTGGTCCCACGCTTAGAGACAGACTAAGACATCCGAAGATTCAACCAGTTTTAGTGGAGGGCATGGACTTGGGTCCTCAGGGAGGGTCTGGTGCTGGTCTTCAAAGGCTGAGGAGAAAAAGGTTGAAAAAACTGCATTTGATGTCAAGTTAGAAAAGTTTGATGCTGCTGCAAAAATTAAGGTGATCAAAGAGGTTCGTGCTTTCACAAATTTGGGGTTGAAGGAAACCAAAGATTTAGTTGAGTAAATACCAGTTTTAATTAAGCAAGGTATCACTAAAGAAGAGGCAAATGATATTATAGAGAAAATCAAGGCTGTAGGAGGAGTTGCTGTTATGGAGTAGATTTTCACCGAGTTTTGTATGCTTTCATTGAACTGTTATCAAAGTTCTATTGCCAGTTTTTCGCTTTGATAGAGAAACAACTGCCATTCTGAAGATGTTGTTCTTGCATATTCAAAGAATGAAGGGAAAATGACCTGTTTCATCCCTCACATTTTGCAAAAATATTCTTTTCGTCCCTCACTTTTAAAATGAAGCAAATTCGTCCCTGACATTTAAAAATTAAAGCTATTACATCCCTGAACCTAATTTTCAATCTGAATTAAACCATCTAATAACCCAGTAATAAATTTCGAAAATAGAATTGATAGATCATTCGGTCAACTTCATCGTATTCACATGACATTTATTAAACCAAAAAAATAATAATTATAACATAAAAGGCCATTCTTTGTCTTGGAATAGTAGAGTTTTTTTTTTATAAATCTTTTCATGCACCATTAGTATATCCGCTTGCGAATCTAGATGTGTATCATAAATATAAAATTTGATGTTTAAATTTAAATTAAAATAATATGGCGGTACATAAAACTGTCAGTGTATACAATGATAATGTAGAAAAGATTAATCTTTCTTTTTTATATTATAATTTTTTATTTTTTATTTTTAGGTTCATTAAATTTTACATGAATATCAAGTTGAGTTAACTAAGTGATCTACCAATTACACCCCCAAATTTATAATCAGGTTGATTGGTGGTTTGATTTAGATTGAAATTTGGGTTCAGGGATGTAATAATTTTAGTTTTTAAATGTCAAGGACGAAATTGTTTCATTTTAAAAGTGAGGGACGAAAAAAATATTTTTATGAAATGTGAAGGATGAAGCCGATCATTTTCCCAAGAATGAAACTTTCCTTGCTAGGTAGAGGAGGAACATTATTATATTTTCCTTCAAAATTGGTTTTTCATACTTGATATTTTGTGCTGACCCTTAATGGGATTTTGGGATACGGATGGGCCACCAGGGGAATTGGCTTAACAGATGTCTGGTTTGTGTAAAATTGCTGGTGTATGATATTGGAATTATTGCTGATTTAGCTGTGGTTGCAACTTACAAGTAGTCTGTTTGGTTCAGCATTTTAACATGGGGCAGACTTTTCAGTGGCCGCAAATGGCCTCTGTCCATTTTTGAGATGGCCAAACAGTTACATTTCAGGCTTTTGCCAAGTATGGAAATTTTGGAATTGAATTATGAACTCTCAACATGCGATTTTCACTTAATTGATCCTCAGCAATTAATAGACCCACACTCTAGTAGATAACATTTTTAGCCACTTCATGCAATATTTGAAAATATTTCTTGCGCAAATATGCGATGTGTAACCTTCATTGTTGTGGTCGAATAACATTCCTAATTGACCAATTGTTACTAGTCAATTAG